CATGAAGGAGTCCTTTGACGCTCTCAAACTGGGCGACTTTTGCAGGGCGGTTTGAAGTACTTTCAACTGCAATGCGCGCTCTCGATACGAATTGCCCGCGATTTGCAGTCAATGGCGCGAAGTTTACCCGAGGAGCCGGCGTACCAAGCAGATGTGCCGCTCTGCAAATCTAAAAGTACATGCAATGGCGTCGCTGCGTCCGAGGTGGGGCGATTTCGGACCTTTCGATACGCGCAGTCGTCTTGCACCTCGTGGTCGACAGCGTCGGGTGCGCGACCGCGCTCGAGGCCACTCGTTTGGCCGGCACGATTGGTTTGTTCTTGTTGGTCTTGCCTTCGGAGCACATTGGCGGTGACGCAAAGTTCGAGCACGTTCGTGCACCGACCATCTCGCAAACGCCAGGCCAGGAGAGATGCCCATGGTAACGATGCTGCTTGGCACGTCAGTTACGTCGGCGCCGATTACAGCGGCCGACGCAGTGCCCTCGTTTACAACCTTGTGGCCAACGTTGTTCCCGTGGCTCGGCCGACACACAAAGCCGTGGAAAAGTTCCTGCCAGCTCACCTCGGACGGGACCAGTTTTTGTTCAGATGGTTTATTACCGGGATAACCTCAAGGTGTTGTCTTACGTGGCACAAATAATTTAGTGGGGGACCCATCATCAGCAGTTCAATCTGCTGATAATGAGTCCCCCACTAAATTATTTGTGCCACGTAATGCCAAATTTCTAATCTGATATTTTACTATGTACCACTGTACAGTCCGTGTGGCGCAATGGATAGCGCATCTGACTTCTAATCAGGGGGTTGTGGGTTCGAGTCCCATCATGGACGAATTTTTGCCATTTCTTCGACGGGTTCATTGCATTGACTGTTAGTCTTATCCAGGGCAATTAACAAAACAACATGGTCTTCCTTTTCCAGGCCGTGTGTATATTGCATGCGTGATGCTCTCGCCAACACGATTGCATCGATTTGATGAAGTCGGTTCGAAGCTATACCTTTCCCCAAACTCTTCTGCGTTGGTTTGCATGCAGCAAGCCACAGCTGATAAACAGCATGCACATCGATTATTTGCCTCACTGTTAGCTGTAATTATCACAGAGGTCGTGAACTAGGACGTGTCGGTTGGCATCAATGTCGATCAAATATTGCTGAGGGCGCAGGTGGGCGCGGGCACGAGCAACGTGCAGAAAACACGTGTCCAAGTGACGCTTGGCGCTGCCGGGGAAATGCAAAAAGACCGGCGTCACGTTGTTATACGTAAACGCCGACCCGACGTTGCCGGCGAGGTACTCTGGCGCGCACCCGCGGGGCAGAGAGAAATGTGCAAAGTCGTCGTCACCGACGTTGTACGAGAGAACAAAGAAGATCTCGGCGCTCGTGTCCACGAGCGCGTTCACCTCGGGGAACCGCACGTACGCCAGCTGAAACAAGATCTGGTCGCCTTCAAAGAGAAACGACGCACTCGGGTTGGCGCTGTACTCGTCTTCTTGCTCGCGCCGGATCTGGTGCACGCCACGAAGGAAGGCTCGGATGCTAGCGACGTCGCCCAGAATGCCTCCAGAGCCGAGGCTCCAGTTCGGACCCGCTGTCGCCGTGGACGTCATGGTCTTGGCAGCAACGGCGTAGCACATGTCGTGGCCGCTCGCGTAGCGCAGCGTTTGGCTGCGCTCCAAGCGAATCGGCCAGCGCTTGCTGCGGAGCTTGTCGCCGTACGGGTTTGCGATCCCGAACGAGTCGCCGCACGATGGCTCGCCGTTGAAGATGACGCCGCGCTGGCCGCGCGTCTGCTTGAGAAAGATGCTCGTGAGCGTCGCCGTGTCACCATTGACGACGACGTCCCATGCGTCGGTGAAGAGCACGAGGTCGTCGTCGCACAGATCGGGGTGGTGCTCAAAGTAGTGGTGGAGCCAATGCAGCTTCTTTTGCTGGCCGATCCGATTGTCCTTGCCGCGATTGGCTTGGCACGGCGGGCCGCAAGACGTACCGTCGAAGAACGTGTCGCTGTAGTTCCACCCGAGCACGCCGAGCACCAAGCCTTGGCTATACACGGAGGCCGCCAGTGGGCAGATCGCTGTGCGCGTGGGGTCGTCCGCCAGCGTGACGATGTGGACTTTCCCGATGCTAAATGGTGGAGGGTCTGGCGTGCTCGACGTCGTCACGGGCCTGGCTTCGAGCCGTGACGTCAAGGAGGCACCGCGCTGCACGAGAAGGGTCTGGAGCATCAAGAAGCCCGCGGTCGTGACCACAAGCGCGGCCAACGTCACCCGAGTCTTCCACATCCCGGCATCAATTGCAAGGTGAAACTGTTCAGCATTCCCAGAAACGTACCGTCTGGCGAGGGTGGACTGATCGGCGGACAAAGCGCACCAAATAGGGGATTTTGACCACGTGCGACTCTCCAACCTTGGAGGCCGCCCACAATTTTGTCACAGGACCAACTCCGACGCATTCGGAAAGATTGAGACACCCTGTTCGCCAACGAAACACGCATGCACGGAAGAATTTGAGATTTTCAGACAAACGTGGGGCAAACGTCGGCCACGGGCACCCGTCGGTTGCGGTCGACGTCAATCATGTACTGGCCGACGCCGCGGGATTCTCTGTAGTGCGACGTCGGTGCCGCGCAGGACCAAAACACCTCCTTGTAGTCGCCGGGGAAGTGGAAGAAGACGGGTGCGACCCGATTCCACGCGTACACCGACGCGCGACCGCGCGCCATGTAGTTGCGCGTGCAGCCTCTTGCGGGCGAAAACTCGTCAAAGTCGCCGTCGGCCACGAGGCGCGAGATGACGAAGAAGATCTCGCCGCTCGCATCGACCTTGGTGTTGATCTCGGGCGACTGGAGGTACGCAAGCTGGAATAAGATCTGGTCGCCTTGAAAGAGAAAGGCGTGCTGCGGGTCCTTCTCGAACAGCACTTCTTGCTCGCGTCGGATCTCGTGGACCTTGCGGAGGAAGTTGCGAATGCTACGAACGTCGCCGAGGATGCCGCCCGACCCGAGGCTCCAGTTTGGTCCGGGAATGTGCGCCGATGATAGCGTCTTGGCCGCCATCGCGTTGCAGACATTGTCGCCGCGAATCATACGCGGGTTCTGGTCTCTCTCGAGCTGCACGCGCCAGCTGCGGCGGCGCAGCTTCTCGCCGTACTCGGTCGGGAGCGTAAACGAGTCGCCGCACGCTGGTTCGCCGTTAAAGATGACGCCGCGCTTGTGGTTTGTGTGGCGCAGAAAAAGGTCCGTGAGCGTCGTCGTGTCGCCGTTCACAATGACGTCCCACGCATCCGTGAAGAGCACGAGGTCGTCGTCGTGCAGGTCGGGCTTGAGCTCGAAGTAATGCAGCAGCCAGTGCAGCTTCTTTTCTTGGCCAAACCGCAACATATCTGTGCCTTCGGGTGGCGTCTTGCAACGGGCGCCGCACGACGCGCCGTCAAAGAATGTGTCACTGTGGTCCCAGCCCAAGACTTCGAGGACGTTGCCTTGCTGGTAGATAGAAGCAGCGAGATGGCAAATGTTGGGACGAACGTCGTCCGCGAGCGTGAGGAACCGAATGCTTCGTGGAGCAAAGACGCCGTCTGATGAGGCGTTGGTGACGTTGGGCGTGGCTCGGGCGCCGATCGCGAGGTTGGCCTTGGCGCCGTGCCACGTCATCATCGAAGTGTCCTCGCGCGGCGCATCCGTCGATGAGCTCACGAGGTTCCAGTTCATGACCATGACCAAGCACGTGCAGACGACGAGGACCGCGAGCACGAACTTGGCGGCGTGCTGGACGTCGCCCATGGGGCCAGCTGTGCACTGTGATTGGTGGCTTTTAAATTCAAACTTCGATAATCTCGAAGTTCGAAGATAAGCTATTTTCAGAGCGTCTAAAAATAGCCTCCGGATACGAGAATGTGGAGGGCGACTTGCGGGCAGTTGTGAAACCCAAGGCCGAGGCAAACATGTCGGACCCATTCGCGACCCTCGACACGGGCGCGCCGCAGTACAGCTACGGCACGGCGCCCCACCACGGTGGCATGAAGCAGCAGCAGCCGATGGGCCAATTCCAGACCGGCGCCATGGGCGGACCCTCGGCGATCCAGACCAGCGGACCGGCGCGGACGCAGCCCTTTATGACGGCCCAGGCGCACTCGACCAACCCCTTCATGGACGCCGGGCCATCGAACGTCTTTCCGCAGCCTGCATATAATGCGCCACCGCAGAGCTACAACCCGCCGCCGCAGAACTACAATGCGCCACCGCAAAACTACAACATGCCGCAGCCCGCCACGTACAACACGCAGCCCGGCATGTACCAGCAACAACAGTTCGCGCCGCCAGCGTACCCGGCGCAGGCCAACCCATTTGCAAACAACCCGTTTGGGGCGCAGCCGCCGCCGCGTCCGTTGTCGGTGAATCCGTCGGCGCCGCCGCTGTCGCTCAAGACGAACGACCCGACGATCGTGGACTTTGATCCGTTTAGCCCCAAGGACTCGACGCCGCGTCTGCCCTTCGACTTTGCTACGTCGCCGTCCGCAGCCCTTGCCGAGCGAACCGCCTCGCCACGGGTGACGCAAGAGGCGGCGCGCAAGGCGCTCGACCCGAACGCGTTCACGCCCGTGACACGTCGCCACTCGGTCAAAGACATTCTGGACGTCGAGAAAATGAGCATGGACGCGCAGCGGGCCGCGGACGACAACGGCTTTACGATGGCCCAGACGTCCGAGATCCTCGCGCAGAACGGTTTCTCCAACGTTGACGACGACGCGTTCAACCCACGGAGCCTCTCGCGCCGGTCGAGCTCGTCGTCCATGAACGAGCGAAGCGCACGGTACCGCACCTTGTTGTAAGTGTGTCATCTGACGTGGCACAGGCCGCTGCCGCAAGACCTGCCTGCGCAAATGGAGCCGGATGAGTACGAGGTCATCTTTGAGTTTGGCTCCAAGCTCGGCGTGCTCATGGAACGCGTGGACACGTACTCGAAGGATACCCGCCAGAAGCGCGAGCTCGCAGTTGTCAAGTACGCCGTCAAATGTGCTGGAACATGCTGACCCGTCTGCAGGCTCGTTGTCGAAGGCGGCGCCGCAGACCGCATCGGCGTCAAGGTTGGCAGCATCATCCGAGGCATCAACGACCGCGACTTGATGTACGAGAGCTACAACACGGTGCTGGACCTGATCAAGACGGCGCCGCGGCCAATGACGATCCGCCTCAAAGACCGCAGCGAGACCAAAGAGGTGACGCAGGGCGCCGTCCTCACGCGCATCTCCAGTACACTTTCTAGTCGATGCGTGGGCTCATGGTTGCGGTAGACGGCACCTTTAGCGTCGGCAACCTCACGTCCGGCAACGCCAAGTGGGACAGCAAGTACTTTGCATTTGGTGGGGCCAAGATGGACGTCCTCCAGCTCTTCGTCTCGCGCGCTGCGTACCACGAGGTTGCTTCGAGTCGGGATTTCGTAGTGCTAAGGTGTCTGCTTAGTGCGTCATTGCGCTGTACGAGAAGCGGCACGTCTCGACGCCGATCCAGTCGTTCCGGCTCTGCCGCGACCACAAGCTGTCGCCGATCAAGAGCAAGATCTACAAGGGCTACGGCAACTTGCACTACTTTTCGCTCACGGTGCCGTCGCTGCGCTTCATCGCGGCCAAGTTTGCGAGCGAGAACTACGAGACGATCAAGACCATGTGGCAGCTCGCGTTCGAAGCCATCGAAAAGAAGAAGCGCATGGGCTACTAATGTATGTTTACTGCTTGGAGCGGACGTTGAGGTACAAATGCACGGGGCAGCCGAGGAGCTTCTGGATGTCGAGGCGCGCCGACGTGCCGATCGACCGGAGCGTGTCGCCTTGCTTGCCGATGAGAATGCGCTTGTGGCGGTCCGACGGCACGATCAGATCCTGGTCGATGCGAATGCTCTTGTCGCTGAACGGCGTCCAGCCGCGGTTCTCCTGCTCAATCTACCGCGGCGTTTTGAGATGGAGTTGTTGCACTACGTTGGTACCTGGTACGGCAGCTCTTGGTTGAAGCGGCGGTAGATCTTTTCGCGAATGATCTCGGTGACCAAGTCCAAGTCGGAGCGGTCCGACTTGATGCTCGAGTGGTACAGCCACGGCCGGTCCACGGCCAGCGAGAGCAGTTCCGAGCGCAGCTTCTTGACGCCCGACTCTTTGAGCGCCGAAACCTTGAACGTCTTGTCAAAGAGGTACGTCTTCGGGTCGAGTGTCAGCGGCGTGACGCTCGGCAGCAGATCGTCTTCGTCAAAGTCCTCGCTCTCGTACTCTTCCAAGTCTTCTTCGCTCGCGAAGAACGACTCGGCGTCAAAGTCCGGGTCGTCGTCTTCGCCATCTTCGTCGTCATCAAACTCGGAGAAATCCGGCTCCGGCTTGTAGTGCTCTTCGAACGCTGCGTCAATCATCTCGCTGAGCACCTGGACACGCTTGGTGACGTGCGCCTTCTCGGCCGGTCCGACCAAATCCATCTGCGACACTCGAGTTTTCTGTTTCGGGGCAGCGACAAAGTACCTTGTTGAGGACGAGCGCGATCGGCGCCGACACTTGCGCCGACGAGATCGCAATGTCTAGCGCATGATGAGCACAAGGGACGAGGCGGCGGATACATACTCTTGAGGGCTTCGAGCGCTTCGTCGTCGAGGCGCTTGACCGCGTCGACAACGAGGAGCGAGAGATCGACCGACGACATGGTCTCGGACGCCGTGACGGCCAATGACCGCACGTACTTGTGGTTGTCCCTACCAGAAATCAGAACTAAGCGGTGTCGGAGCGAAGGTACTTTTGGTTCACGAGGCCCGGCGTGTCGAAGAACGTGATTTGCACGTCGTCCTGCGTGAGGATGCCGAGGACGCGGTCGCGCGTTGTGTTGTACTTGGCCGAGACCGCCGAGACCTACGCGGGCTCAGACACGCAGCAGCAGAGAGGGCGGCGTACGTTGAAGCCGAGGAGCGAGTTCATGAGCGAGCTCTTGCCCGCGTTCGGGCGGCCGATGACGGCGACCGACAAAGCGCGCGAGCCCGTCTCGGGGGCGTCCGGCTCTTGGTAGTGGAACGACGCATCGACAACGTCCTACCAGAGGCGCTGAATACATCCAACGTGTGGCACGGACGATATACCGAGGTCGGCGCTTCGAGGTTGGTGAAGACGCGCTCTTCCTTGTTCTTTTGGCGCTTGGCCTTGATCTTGTCCTTCACGGAGCCCTTCTTCGCATCAAATGGCTTGTCAAAGACTAGGAATGCATGGTGAGCCCAAAAAGGTCCTGGACGTCGCAGCACGGACCAGGAGCCGCGGGCTCGGACGCTGGCGTCGAGCGGCGTTTGCGCATCTCGGCCCACGCCTGCTCGAGCTCGGCCTGGTGCTCCGAGAGCGACTGCGGCGGCGTGGGCTTGGGCTTCTCGAACTTGGCGTCGGGCTTGGCCATCGGCTTGGCCGCCGCCTTGGTCGGCGACTTGTGCTTGAACGTCTTCTTGCGCGGGCCGTCGTCATTCGTCTTGGCCCGCTTGTACTTGTCCTCGCGGTCCTTCTTCCACTTGGGCTCCTTGGCGAAGGTCGCCATCGACTGCAGCGGCGTCGCCCACGACATCGGGCGCACAGCCCGCGGAAGGCAAGCGAACCGAAGCATCTTTTTGTCTTTGCGCTCCAATCAAAATCCGGCGTGTTTTCCGGCGTCCGGATACGAACACCGTGGTTGCGATTGATAGTTTTTTAAATGTATCAATTGGTCGGGATCGTCGTCTCCTCGACGATGGTCATGGCGGCGAGCGCGAGGAAGATGACGAACGCGATGACGCCCGAGATGAGGAGCTTCGTGCGCCGCTTGAGGCGCTGCGCCGTCTCGGACGTGTCTTCGGGCGGCGGCGCGCCCACGCCGCGCTCGAAGAAGAGCGGGACGAACTGCTCCTTCCGGAAGCCCATCGTGTTGCGGAGATGCTCGTTCTCAACCGTGAAGAAGCTCCAGATCGTGCGCCGGATGGGCTCGAGCACCATCGAGAACGGGTGGATGTACACGAAGAAGCTGTGGTTGAGCGCTTGCTCGGCCGAGGGCGGGATCAGCGTCAGCACCCAGGCGTAGCAGAGGAAAAAGTCGGCGATGATCGCAATGTAGTACACGGTGCGGCGCGGGTACATGTGGCGCTCGGCGAGAAACTTGTGCTCGGGTCGCATGAGCCCCCAGTCCATGGTCACGTCCCAGAACCAGAGCAGGAAGGACGCGATGATGAAGCCTGCGATCCAGACCTGCTGGAGCGGGCTGATCGACTCGATGGGCCGGACCGGGTTATGGAACGGGTGGAAGAGCCCGAAGAGCACGACGATCATCGCAAGGCCAAACTTGATGACGTTGCCGACGCCCGGCCACCACTGCTTCATGTCGTAGATGCGCCGGAGGCTCTGCAGGAACCGATACCACTAGACAAAATCCACCGCTCAATGCGACGCGACAGGTTGAGACTCGTACCAGCGGGAGCGCGCAGAGAAGTGGCACCGCCACCTTGGCGTAGTAAAAGTTCTTGTAGCACTTGGACGGAACGATGCCTTGCATCGTGTGGTTGTGCAGATAGCCCTTCATGTCGGTGCCACCGGCATGCAGCATTTGGAGGTCGTCGGTCTCGAGGAACTCGCCCGTGGCGAAGAAGCAGACGGACCACGCAATGTCCTGGTTCATGCGCTGCATGCTGAGCATGTAGTTGCCAATGAACGTGTGGAGGAACGTGACAGGGAACCACGGCGCCCCAAAGATCTCGGCGACGACCTTGACGAGGCCGATCTTGAGCTTCCAGTCGCGGATGAGGTAAAAGTAGATCATGTAGAGGAAGAGCACGAGGAGCACGTAGCCGCGGTGGACGACTTTGGACTCTGGGAACTCGTCGTTGCAGACCTTGTAGTAGACAAGCATGCACACAAGGTACACGATGCTCACGTGGGCCGCGTCGTGGAACACCTGGTCGTAGTCCTTGGTCTTGTGTGGGTCGAGGTCCATGATGTACTTGTAGTTGATGCGCGCCGAGCGCCACACGTAGAGCGAGACGCCCATGAGCCAGTTGAAGAGGATGACGCATCCCATGCCCCGGAAGAGCGGGAAGCCTTTCGTCAGGAGCAGCCGCAGATGGTTGTCATTGGTCGAGATGTTGGGAATGATACCGGCGTCCCAAATCACCCAGAGCCCGAGCATGAGGAGGCAGCCAAACTTGACGCCCATGTACGCCTGGGCCCAGTCGACAATCTCGACGCGGCGCGACATGAGCTCCGAGATCGCGACCGGCCGATTGCCGCTGTGGAACGTGCGCGTGAACCAGTCTTCGAGGCGCGCGGCCTCGGCCCGCGCCTCGGCGGCCTGCGCAAAGGCGCACGTCTCAATCTTCTCGGCAAAGACGTACCGGATCGACTCTTGCGACTTGACCTTTTTCTCGTGCGATTTCAAGATCTTGGTCAAGCCCGTGTAGTTGAGCATCGCAAAGTTGACGAGCATGTTGAGGAGGCGGTAGAGCTCCATGCAGGCTGCGACCATGGCCTGGCGCGCCGCCTCGGTCATGTTGTTGTGGTACTGCTTGAGGAGCGTGTCGAGCTGGAGCTTGAACTCGCGGATGCTCGCGACGTAGAAGGTCTCGACCTTGGTGTACTCCTTGATGAAGAGCTTCTCAAAGCTCTGGAGCGTCGAGCCGGCGGCGCCGACGAGGAACTGGAGCTCGACGACCTTGTCGAGCTGCGCCTCGAGGTCGAAGCCCGCGACGTCCTCGCGCATGCCGTTGACGGCGAGCTTGAGCGCCGCGAACTCAATGTAGTGCTCCTTCCACTCGCGGTAGGTGTTGGCTTCGAGCTTGTCCTGGAAGCGGCTCATGAATTCCCAACTCCTCCGCCAGCGCAACCAACGCGCTAAAAATAGTCGCAACCGACGGCGTCTTTAGTCGACTAGAAATTGTACTGGCCCGAGTCGCCTCATCCCTCCGCGACCAGAACGATCTTCGCCTCCTGTTATCTGGTAGAAGGGATGTCCTTGCAGCTTGCAGGTGTATACTAGTAGCATCCAAGGAGGTTGTGAGTTCGATGGACAACCTCTCGGGCCGAGCACCATCACTCTGAAATTCGACCACCAACACTCACCAGTCTGGCGCGGCCGATGGTTTTTTTGCCAGATTCGAATTGGCATGTGGACGTCGATTGTGGCCAAGCTGGATGCGCGTCTGGAGACGGCTGGGTCGCCCAGCGAGTCGGTTGTGGCGCTCGTGACGGACCAGCTGCAGGACGTGCTCTTGCACGGATATCAGATCGAAGGCCTACGCTGGCTCCTGCAACGCGACGCCGCCAATCTCAACGTGATCGTCGGCGATGAGATGGGCCTCGGCAAGACGCTGCAGACGATCGCGTTCCTGTGCTACCTTGTCTCGACCAAGGCGCTGGCAGCGCCGTGCCTGGTGGTCGCGCCGCTGAGCGTGCTGCCCAACTGGGCCGAGCAGATCGGCCGCTTCGCGCCGCACCTGCGCGTCGTGACGTACGCCGGCAGCAAGGACGAGCGCGCGTCTGTGCAAGCCAAGGTATCACATGCATCGAGCGTGTGTATTCAGTGCTTTGAATAGATTGCAACCACAAGCCCGCATGTCGTGCTCACGTCGTACGAGCTCGTGCTCCTCGACACGGGGTACTTCAAGACGCTGCCGTGGGTTCTTGGCGTCTTTGACGAAGGCCATCGGCTCAAGAACCCGAAAGGCAAGCTGTACCAAGCCCTTTGCTCCGAGATCTCGTTCGTACAACCAAACTTGCTGCGTCCTCACGCCCGCACGATAGGTTTGACCGGAAGCTCCTCTTGACAGGCACGCCCGTGCAGAACAACATGCGCGAACTCGCGGCGCTTCTTGCATTTTTGAACCCGAGTGTCTTTACTGGGGACGTAGTTGAGCGCTTTGTCACGGCCGACTTTGCGCCGGCAACGCTGCGGGCCCTTTTGGCGCCGCTCATGCTTCTGCGCACGGTGGCCGACGTCAAGTCGACGCTGCAGCTGCCGCCGCTCTCCAAGGTGGTCGTCCACACGCGCATGGCGCCAATGCAGCGCGCGTACTACAAGGAGATCGTCTCGAAAGGCTCAGGCGACGGCCCCGGCGTCTCGCTCATGAACATCCTTGCGCAGCTCCGCAAGGCGTGCAACCACCCGTACTTGTTCCCAAATGCCGAGCCCGAACCCTTCTCCGAGGGCCCGCATTTATACGAGAACAGCGGGAAGCTTCATGTGCTCCACGCCCTTCTGCCAGCACTCCACGCGGAAGGCCACGTCGTGCTGCTCTTCTCGACCTCGACGGCGTTCCTGGACATCATCCAGGACTACTGCACGATGGCCAAGCTCTCGTACGAGCGCCTCGACGGCTCCGTCCGTGGTGAAGAACGGTACTGCATCGTATCGCGAAATCAGCAAGTATCTGACCTTCTGCGCAGGTGGCAAACCATCGACCGCTTCCGCCAACGCGATGACACGTTCTTGTTTCTGCTGAGCACGCGTGCTGGCGGCGTTGGCTTGAACCTCCAGCGCGCCGATACGGTACGTTTTACGAAAAGGTGGTCGTCCCACGCACGCACTAGGTGATCTTTTGCGACGTCGACTACAATCCGCAAATGGAGCTCCAGGCGCTGGCGCGGGCCTATCGCATGGGACAAACCAAACCGATTCACGTGTTGCACTTGATCTGCCAGCACTCGGTGGAAGAGCTCATCTACAAACGGTCCCTCGCCAAGCTCGAGCTCTCTCAAAAGGTGTGCTCGTCATGCCCCCCTAAGCACAATGTCACCTTGCTCTAGGTGCGCGAAGCCTCCAAGCTCCACCTTCAAGACGACGATACCAACCCTGCAGTCCTCGATGGACTTCAAAACGACGCCGTCCTCGCCTACGGTCTGCACCACCTTTTGGAGAGCTCGGACGAGGCGCTCGCCCCGCTCTCCGCCGACGAGATTGCGGCGCTGCTTGATCGCACGGCGCCTCCGGAGGCTGCCGCTCCTGCCATCCTGGCCGATGTCGCCGTCGACAACATGTACTGCTTCGAAGGCACCGACTACTCGGGCCAAGATGCAGCGTGCCTCAAGACTCTCAAGGCCACAGTACCCGCCAAGGCGTCGCGGAAAGGAGCCAAACTCAAGGTCCAGTACGAAGACGACGAGGGCAGCGTCGACATCGATATGGAAGTAACGGAGGAGGAGCGGGCGGCTCGCAAGCAAGCTGCGCTCGCCAAGAAGCTTGCTATGTGGGCCAAGAACCAATACACTTCGCACGCGCTCGACCCTTGCGACGACAACGCGGATGACGAATCGAGTGAGATGGAGCTGGCGTACAGGACGGGCAACGCGGCGACGGTCCAGCCGACGGGCGACCAGCCTCTTGTGATCGTCCACTGCGTCGACACGAGTGGCGCCTGGACGCCGCGCGGCTTCTTTGGCGCGCTCTCGAGCCGGTCCAGTGCGCCCGAGACCGTGTACGCCGCTGCCAAAAAATGCCAGGACCTCAAGCTCGGCCAGGCGCACTGCGTTCCTATCGGTGACAACGTGTACGTCTGCCTCCTCGTTGCGCAGTCGTCGACCAAGTCCAAGCTCAAGCTGCGCACGGCCAAGACGCTCGCCTTCCGCCTCAACGCGCTGCAGGAGTCGCTCAAGGCCCTTGCTAGCTTCGCGCGGGCGACTGGCGCGTCCGTGCACATGCCGCGGCTCGGCGCCGGCACGCCGGGCTTCAACTGGTACGCCGTCGAGCGCCTCCTCAAGAAGCACTTGGTCCGCTGCGGCGTCGAGACCTCCGTCTACTACTACGCACCTCCGCATAAGAAGGCCAAGGCTGCACCGTAAATATATCTTTGGTGTACCGTGTATTTTTTGTTTTTACCGTATATGGGCGAAAATACGGAAATATTGCCACGGCGTGACACGGATCTTGTGGAGGCGCGCGATGCTGACGTTCCACGCCAAGCTCGAGTGCAACACGTACTCACCCTGGCTAGAGCACTATGTAAGCTACCTGCCGCTCAAGGCGCTGGTCAAGAAGCTTCAGCGGCGCGATGCCTTCCTTCGGCGGCACGGAACAGGCGACGAGGCGGAGCCGTGTCTCCCGCCCGAGGCCAGCGACTTTGCCAGAGCATTTGATGCCAACTGCATCCGCGTGGAAGATTGGTACAACGAGCGCCTCGACGAGTTCTTAGCGCAGTTTGCGCTTCTCACGCGCCAGTTCGAGACGCTGCAAAGCCACGGCGTGCAAGATCATGTCGAGACAGAGCTCCTCAAGACGTCGTTCATCGAGCTTCACCACCTCGTGCGGACCTTGCGCGACTACGCACTGCTCAATTACACGGCGCTGCGCAAAATCCTAAAAAAATACCTGAAGAAATGCCCCACAGCCAGCGCCAACCACGACACGCTCCAAGCCGAGCTCCATTCCCAAGCGTTTGCGAGCGCCGAGGCCGCGCAGCGATTGACAGCCGACCTCGAAGCCTATTACATGGCGTCTTTCCACGACAACGACCGCGTCCTCGCGCTCTCGGAGCTCGACGGCTGGAAAGACGATGCGCTCGACTGGCGACACGTGTACATTGGCTTGAAGATGGGCGTCTGCTTGGTGCTGACGCTCTGGCTGCTCTGGGACCACGCACTACTGGCCTCGCCAGGCTACCACGTCAAGCTGTATGCTTCAAGACGATACCAAGATTCATGCTTTGTCTTCTAGGACGCAGACCAAGGCGTATCCTGTCTACCGCGGCGTCGCGCTTCTTCTCTTCTTCCACTGGCTCTGGGGCCTCACGCAGTTCGCGTGGCGCTCGGCGCGCATCAACTACATGTAACATTTCGGTTTGATGGGGTAAAACTCAGACGAGTAGGTTCATCTGCGAGCTCGACCCACGCACGACCGCCGACTACACCCACGTCTTCAACGACGCCAGCGACCTCACGATGGTCTTCTACGCCAACTTTCTCTTGTACGTTCAGATTGTCTCGGGCGAGCTCTCCGACTCGCTTCTTCCGCGCGGCTACTACCCGCTCATTCTCGTCGTCTACATTGTGTACCGCTACTGCATCAAGGCGTGGTCGCGCCAGAAGCGACT